AGGGATGGGTGCGCGGTTTCGGGGCTGCGCGGGGGCTGGGTGTGCAGTATATTGGGGTGCGCAGGGCCTGGGTGCACGGTATAGCAGGGTGCACAGGGGCTGGGTGCGTGGTATATTGGGGTGCACAGGGATGGGTGCACGGTGTATCATGGTGCGTAGTGGCCGGGTTCATGATAGATCGGGGTGCACAGGGGCGGGGTGTGCAGTATATTAGGGTGCATGGTATATTGGGGTGCATGGGGGGGCCAGGTGCAGGGTATATCAGGGTGCCCTGTATATCAGGGTGCACAGGAGCCGGGTGCATGGTATATCGGGGTGCACACGAGGATCGCCCAACCAACCAGCTGAATTCATCACAATTTTACCAGCTGCAGGTAAAAATCAGGAGCTCAGGTCAGACTAAAGCCTCTTTCTTCGAGGTACCTCCCTGGGCCGATGCGGCTGGCGGCCTTAGGGCTCCTGCCAGACCCCTCTCACAGCAAAACACACTATACAGCACCAGGGCTGAAGTGTGTAAAACGCTGCAATTTTGGTTGTTTTAGCTGGCACGCTGTCATCAGGCACGTTCAGCAGCCGGCAGGGGCAGGCACGTGTAAACAGACGCCGCTAACAAAATCTGTCGCTTGCTGCCGCACAGGGAAGACCCAAAGGCAAAAAATGGGAAAGGCAAACCGATTTAATAAAGGAACAAAATAAGCTATTTTGTTAACAGTCACCAGGAAAAATCTGCACCTCCCCGGGGAGATGGAGTCTGGAAATAACATTCATTTCTTATATACATTTGGCTCATACCAAAACATAGCGACCCACCAGAGATTTAAAAAAAGACAAGACAGCACCTGTTCTGAGCACAGTGAAAACTTCAGCTTCTCCCTCCTGTCAGTGCATGCCTCAGGCAGGCAAAACCAAATTCAATTAAAAACACAGTACAAAAATATATCGTCGTGACAGAACTACCATGCGTGGTGCGCTCCCCAGCGGCAACGAACCAGTGTATTTTTCAAGTTCTAGATGTACAGGTATTTTAGCGTCACTGTAAACTGCCAAAAAAGGCTCCCCTTTTAGTCACCGAGAAGCCCTGAGGGAAACGGAGCAGGCACCCTCACCTTAAGCTCACGTATATACAAGGTCCTTAGCATCTTAGGATTTACAAAGTTTTATCCCTCGGTTTAAAAAAAATAACTAACTACATACACTTCTAAAACCTTTTTAATTGCCTCCATTTGCAATTTGCTCCCCCAACCCCCATACCAAGTTTCTCAGCAAATATTCAAGGGCCCAATCTTCGAAACGGATGCGAGTGTTTCTCCCCAAAGGGAAATTCCCCAGAAGCGGAGCAGCCACTTGCACAGTCGTGGTTAAACACTCACATGGGGGTTATACAAGAACACGGACATCCCACCGTTGTCCGAGCTTTTACTGAAGGGACTGTCCCTGCGACGTGAACCGCAGGTTGGCCTGCGCTCCCAGAATGTGACTCTTACTAAAAAATAATCCCTACCTCCCTGTGGGGGGGGGAAGCCTACGAGGCCAGAGGCTCAAAAGCTGGGCTCTGGCCAGGAGGCATCCGCTTGCCCTCAGAAAAAAGCCATTTCTGGTCCCGCTCTGGTGAGGCAACAGGAAAACAGGGATGTTCCTGTAAGTTCCTGGCACGACCCCACGCAGCTGTATCTGCCTTGGTTTCACGCAGGGATACTGAAGCCACATGCCAGCCCGCAAGGCCCTGAAAGCAAGCAGTTACTAGCAGAAAAGCTGATGGGAGAAATAAAATAAATAAATAAATAAGAAATTAAAAAGCAAAGGCAGAGTAACACTGCAGTTGTACTCAGCGCACCCCAACATCTTAGAACGCGTAAGACAGCCACGTTTGAATGGTATGGTTATGTTGTTGTTGCTGTTGCTGTTGCTGTTTTAAATCCATCTATCTGCCTATCTTACAAACATATACCGAAACCAGCAAGTCGCACGCTGTTTTCTTTTTCCCTTATATTTGCAGTGGAGACACCTGAAACATCTGGTGAGGTCACAAAATCCAATTATTGCAATGGGCAGGGATAAAAGATAATGTTCTTGCTGATCGTATGCAATTAAATTAACCAAAAGCTGTATAAACTTACTAACTGGGCGCCTGTTAAGCCTATCTGGAATTTCTTGGATCTTGTGAATCTTGCACTTGGCCACGTTGCAGTAACTGCCTCGTCAAGGGAGCGGCTGGGTACAGCCGTGGGAGAGCCGTCCCAGCTGCGCTGCCGCATTCCACCCTCAAACGCGGAAAGCATTTGTTCGTAGTGGAGTCCCGCGGTCAGTTAAGCTCTTTAGAGCGGTGATGGCACTGAAGGGTAAACGCACCAGAAATAGCAAGGGCTTTTTAAATAGGATTCGTTAAGGTGAGGAGCCGGAAAGAGAAGATTTGCCTGAAGTTCATATTTAGATGCATTTCAACAGTGAAAAAACAGTGCAACTTTTTGAGTATCCTCTCAAAAACTGTACAGGAATTAAAAACGTTTCCCCTCTGTCCACAAAGCAGAGTTTAAATTACCCCTTTTCATACAGTCCATATTCAAGGCAACAAGTGTTAATGATGCTGCTCAGATCATCTTTTCAGAGAAGCAGGATCATTCTTTTTCCGAGCTGGAGTCCTGCTAGAGATGTTATTCTCCAAAAATCCATAGAACGTTGACTCCTGATATACCAAGATTTACACGCCTGCAAAAATAACATTATAATGACAAAACACAAGTAAGTTAAAGCGCCTATTTAAAACAAATCTTTGTTACAAGAAAAACTGCCAACTCAGTCAGCATTTTAACAGTTACGTAGGTATTGTGCTTCAGCTTGAATTAAGTATAGATCTTGCAGAACAAAAAAGTCCGGACATTGCTTTTATGTCAGCGCAGGTTTCACTGTGTACTCTAAACTGCTCTTGCTGTGCCAAAAACAAGAGATTACAGCACAATGGCAATATCTGTCCCCTGTTTATCATTAGCACAATACTTGTAAGCAAGAAGGTAGCAGGCTGGTCGTCTGGCCAAGGACATTATTACACAGCACGCACTCCACAAGATTTTCAATCAACACAAGACCAAATAAAAGCACAAAACATTTCCTGCGTGCTCACACACACAAAACTTACATGGTTTTGTAAAAGAGTTGCTATTATTTAAAAGGAGAAGATGATTTCAATTCCACCAATACTGTCCTATTGTAGCAACTTCAGTTACGGTATTTCAAAAGAGAAAGTTCCTGCTCAGATCTCACGCGCGGTGCAAGGATACATAACGTTTGACACTTACCCAAGCATCCCAGATTCCTTTGTCTTTATGATGTACAGAAACATAAGCAATGTATGGAACATGTTGTTTCTGCCCTGAATCCACAGGAAGAGAAGAGAACTTGGAAATGAAATCATGTACAAGCAGTCATACCACTATTTTAGATAGAACGTCTTATTTAAAACAACTGTCGTGTCCTGTCTTTATCTTAGGCAGAGCAATACAGTTTTTCTTGCAAAACTTTTTGCAAGATAAGTATACTGCAGTGCGCGCCATGCCGGCCTGTTAAATAATTTGAGATATGAAAAAGGTATAATAGAGAGAGACATCACGAAACGGTATTACAGCTTGGATTGCTGGGTTTTTGCCTCAGTACTTACCTTTCAATTAGGCAAACATCAGAAAAAGACCAAACTTGTTTTCTGGAGGGACTGTCATCCTCAAATACTTTTAAATGCTAGAGCTTCTCTGATTTCAGAGATCAAGTCACAGCCAGGGCTTAATATAAAATGTGCAGGAAAAGTCCAGTATTTTGATATTGAGGCTAGAAGTTTCCCTCCAAAAATTCCTATAGACAAGCATCAGGCTTGTTGGCATTGAGGAGTGAAGAACTCTCATCAGAGCTTACATAAATTAGTATTTTAGAATAAATCATCAGAAAAATCAACAAGAGGAAGCTACTGCCTGGCTACTGATGCACCCAAGTCAGGCACCGAAGCCATTATTTAGTAGCAGACTAAATACCACACAACGGTCAAAGATCAAGGTAACATTTTTTCAAATCAGGTCTGCTGAAGATATCCTGACAGCAGAAGAAAGCTAACACGATCATACCTGGGGCAGATTGTAGACGTGGCGGTGGTAGATAAGCTCATAGTGGGGTGGATTGATGTTGCTTTGGTAGATGCAAAACACGTTTTCATTTGTAATGTCTGTGAGTGAGAGTTTTAAAACAAAATAGGGATTTTAAGAGTGCCAACGTGATCCAAACAGTAAACAGCAGCTAAACAAGCAGTCCAAGAACACCAATACCTGGTTTATCTGGTGTTTGAATGAAGTGCTGGGAAGTGAAGGTTTTGCCATCAGGATATTTGGGGCTTGGTGGCAGCCTGGAGTCGAGGTAAGTGCAGAATATGTGCATAAGGATCTGTGCAAACAGAAACAGATCTCACTTTAGCGTGATTGAAAAGATTGAGGAACAAAGTGCTTCA